CTGCTTGGAAAGATGGTTTAATGGTGGACAGGATCACATGGCTTGAACTTCTGAACAGAAAAGGGGGATCCCATGTTTCCAGATGTTGGGTGAAGAAGAAAAAAGGGCTTGCTGAGTTTTTTCTACTCTCTGTTCGGCCCTACCTCTCTGTTTCCTGTTCCTATGTAAGAAATGTATTCAGATTGGTTGTCAGACCCCCAGGGGCAGTATGTGTGTGTGTGTGTGTGTGTGTGTGTGTGTGTGTTAGCTAACTTTGTAGGTTGTGTGTCTTTTGAGTCCCAAGTTTGGTTGAGTTCCCAGATGCCACGTGGTGAGTTTCTGTAGAAGGCCAATCCTACCTTTGGTATGTACAGTAGACTAGCCCAGGCTTTAATGGCCCATTGACAAAGGGGGTGGGCTATTAAGAGTGAGTCTGTTTCCTAAAAACATGTTCCTCCATTTCTTATCCAGGGAAAATATAATATTATGCCTTTTCAATATTTCCCAGGATATTTCATTTTTCTAGGAGAGGGGTGGGTTTTAACTTCCTACAGAAGGAAGGAAGGAAAACCAAAAATATCTTGCGGCATTTGAAGGAGCCTTATTATCGGTTTACTATCAGATGTGCTTTTCTCTATTGCTATTTATTTATTTATTTGTCAACACGTACACGGTAACATGTGTTAGTATAGACATGGACATTTTCACATGAGTTTGGTAGAAATGGATGGATATAAATAAGTATAACATGACCACGAACACATAAAATGAGTACATATCAATGGGGACAGTAGGGCAGGGACCTCTTAGGAAACGTGTGAGCTCCACGGTGGACATTTTAAGGTTAAAGATATGGCACTGACCAATCTATTGCTGAAGTCGCATTTTCTGCAATCGAGTTTGGAGCGATTTACTTTGAGTTTTTATCTATTGTTTGCCCATGTATTATTGCGGTTGAAGTTGAAGTAGTAGTTGACAAGTAGGACTTTATAGCAGATAATTATTATAATTATTGTAGCAGATAACTCTCCAGTGATTCTCTGGACTAACAGAAAGGCCACAAAATGAATGTTTTTTTTTTCATCCATAGAAGAAGGAGGGGGAAGCTTTCCCTCTTTCCAATGAACTGTTGCTTTTGGTTCCCACCAATATCTTTGGCAGCTAACCGCAGGAAAGTTAATGCCAATTAGCCATGGCCCCCGAAGTCCAAACCATAAAGCCAGTTTGGGGAGCTGGGAGGCCTCTGTGCCTTGAAAGCAAAATTATAGGTTTAGGATGAATTCGAATGATCTGTGTTTGTTTTGGATGAAGCTGTTGCTTCCCATCCTCTTGGCCTTCGCCTGGCCCAGAATATTCTAACCACATCCCCACAGGCCCTGGATTTGTAAGCTTCCCACCCAAAGAAGCAGGAGGGGCTGAACATTTACTCAGGTCTGGTTGCTGAAAGCTCTCCAGGTCTGCACAGTTTAAAGCTTCAAAGTGCCAAGTTTGGCTCCCACCTCAGAAACAAACTGCGGTGGATCGCAGCACAACGCCCGTAGCCCAATTCGGTGTGCTGGATGAAGTCGAGTAGGAGACGGATGTTATCGAAGGCAATACAGGTAGTCCTCGACATACAACAGTTCATTTAGTGACTGCTCAAGGCTACAACAGCACTGGAAAAAACGTGATCAAAATTCAGATGCTTGGCAACTGGTTCATATTTACAACGGTGCTCTGAGCTAAGCTGCTCAAGAGCCCGAAGAAAATTCCTGGTCCCGACAAAAAACCCTTTTATTAATTGACTGTGAATTCTGCTCATTCACATCCAGCAAAGTCTTTCAAGGGAGGATTTATGGTCACAGACCTTATCTGNATTTACTGTGAATTCTGCTCATTCACATCCAGCAAAGTCTTTCAAGGGAGGATTTACAGCCACAGACCTTATCTGGCTTGGAGAGCTGCCAGGCTGATCTCTGCAAAACTTGGCCAGGAGTCTCAAAGAGTCACAAACAACTTAAGTGAACTAATGGTCTCCTGCAAACTCCACTCCCCTTTCTCTACTCTTTTATTTCCTCTGGGAGGGGCTGTTCATCATCCACCAGTGACCTTACTCCCAAGTCCATCCACTCTTGGGTATCTAGTGCTTCCTTCCCTTTCTGAGGTCCGAGGGCCCTATAGCTTCTAGAGAAAGCATGTCCCTTGCGTGCAAACCAACAGAGCTAACTCCAGTTTGGGAACTTGCTGTGAAAAAAAAGGAACAAATTAGGAAGGGCCGAAATGTAATCTGCATTATATGAAATATAGAAAGATGCTTTTAGAAAGCACGTGTTTATCTCTGATCTCGCCAGCAGATGGCAGCAAAGACAGCAGCTGCAAGGATGGGAAGAGTTCCAAACTTCCCTCTTAGCCAAAAAATGTAAACATTAAACAAAATGCTAGAGTCTTACCATCATCTACCGGATTGAAATGTCTCCAAGTCCCAAATTAGATCTCCAAGGAAATACTTGTTAAGTGTGTAAGTCCCGTATTATGTATGTAGATTTATATAAGGCATGCCATCTGCGTAATCTTTCGTCCTATTTCTGGTTTGTAGTTTTACTTGGTCTGAGTTTTAGACTTCCTTATAAGCCCCTGAGAGCAGATCCATATCCCCACAGAGAATTCAGCCGTACAGTGGGGGTTTTAAAAACAGCCACCAGATTCTTTAAATCTTGTTTCACCTCTTAGCCTTGTTTAAAGTACCAGGTTTGCAAGCAGCCGAACCTTGAGGGTTTGCTACAGAAGCATTGTTTTTATTTAACAAGCTACTTTCAGAAAGATCCATGCACTCACTTGCAAGGAAGGAAAGGAAGGAATGTCCATCCGGGTTCAGCTCCAAGTGGGGAAAAAGACACTGGAAACATGGAGACTGCTTGGAAAGATGGTTTAATGGTGGACAGGATCACATGGCTTGAACT